AAGATAGAGAGGTCAATGTTGCCAGCAAATCTACAAAACAAACACACACACTACTAAGATGGTCTCAGGACGGAAGATACACACACACACACACACACACACACACACACACACACATCACAGAGTTTCATCACATGCACACGAAAATAATTACATAAAACTGCTATCTTGTGTATACATCTGTTTCCTATATTGAGTAATTATCTTATCAAAGCAGCTCAGGTGTACCGTGAAGGGCTGAAGAGAGAGAGAGTAGGCAAAGGTGTGGTTGATTAAGGGCCGCCCTCCTTCCTGTATTCCCCAAACGCCCACCCTGATCTTATCTATCCCCTCCCCCACACGTGGTTGGACACACACACACACACACACACACACACACACACACACACACACACACACACACACACACACACACACACCTGTATCACATAAGGGTATGCAAATAACTGGGCAATTGTCACTGTATGAGATGGAGATGTTGTAGTGTGGTGGTGATGTTGTGGTGATTTGGTGGTGATTTTGTGGTGATTTTGTGGTGTTGTGGTAGTGTTGTGGTGGTGTTGTGGTCATGCTGTGGTGATGTTTTGATATTTTTTTTAATTGATGTGATGATTTTGTGGTTTTGTGATGATGTTATGATGTTGTGGTGGTGATGTGGTGGTGTTGTGTTGATGCTTAATTATTAATGTTTAAACTCATTCGTCAATTTTTATCCGGTTATTAAATGCCGTAAAAACACTAACAGCCGTAAACATGTGTGAAATTAAATGACCGGTAATTAACGAACGGCCAATTATATTAATTATCGCCATAAATTTTCAACTTAACCTATTTAATTAATGGGTTAATAATTGATTTCTCTTCATCAGCCTTCACCAGACTTCATAGTGCCTCGGATATTTGTGGGCCGAGCATAATATGACCTGACCTACTCTGACCTAACCTAACCTACCCACAAGAAACCTCTGTACCAACACTAATACAGGTACAGACCCCTTCACTTGTGCGTTTACAGGGGCTCGTCAGGTTGTGAGCAGTGTGGCAGCGTTGTGTTTGTTTACATTCAACAGAAGGAAACTCACAATAGTAAACATACTATGGAACCAAATTAAAACAATATTAAAACAAATATCTCAAAGATAATGATTAGTGGAATGTTTATATGACGAGCCCCTGTAAACGCACAAGTGAAAGGGACTGTACTTATAAAAAGCATTGGTAGAGAGGTAGAACTCGCCGTGCCGTTAATAACATGTTGATTAGGTTTTAAATGATAATAATCGAGACTTCTGGTGGTAGTGGATGACGAGCACCTATCATGACCTTATTACTCGAAGGGCGTCTGCCTCCTGTAGCAGTGAGTGGGTCGGCTTTTATTAATGAATTCAAGTAAATGTGCAGTGCTCAAGACATGAATGGTATAATGAAGTGTTCACAGCAGTGCTCAAGACATGAATGGTATAATGAAGTGTTCACAGCAGTGCTCAAGACATGAATGGTATAATGAAGTGTTCACAGCAGTGCTCAAGACATGAATGGTATAACGAAGTGTTCACAGCAGTGCTCAAGACATGAATGGTATAATGAAGTGTTCACAGCAGTGCTCAAGACATGAATGGTATAATGAAGTGTTCACAGCAGTGCTCAAGACATGAATGGTATAATGAAGTGTTCACAGCAGTGCTCAAGACATGAATACCACGTCACCACCCCTCTTCAGACATCCGCAACAGAGTCAATATTTTAATGGGTATAATTGCAACGCGTAATTGAAAGACTTGTTCATACACCTCATGACATGACCTAACCTAACCTAACCTAACCACTGATTAATGCATCTAATTTCACATGAACAGGTAAGTGTGTATATTTTTACCTGTTGTATTAGATAGATAGATAGATAGATAGATAGATACGTACATAAATACATACATACATACATACATACATACATACATACATACATACATACATACATAAAAATAGACAAACAGATTCACAGACAGACTAAAAAACACAAAGATATGTAGTTAAATTCAATCACATCAATCATAGGGTAAACGACAGGTGTGTAGGCAGGTGTGTGAATGATTAAGCACCTTGACCACCTCCACCACAGTGAATTATTACACCTTCAATTAACGTAAACTAACTTGTTATGTACAGCGAGAGGCGTTAATATTCGTTCGCTATGTTTTTCGTTTTTTCACTAACTTCATATCATTTCCTATGGCTTAATCACCTCTTGAGACCTTGGTGACGTTGGTGATGATTTGGAAGATGATTTTCTTATTAATTCGAGAGAGAGAGAGAGAGAGAGAGAGAGAGAGAGAGAGGCTGAAGGGTTATTACGTGTTAATTATATTCTAAATAATATTGGGAATTGTTTCTCATACTTTGTACCATTAATGTTGTTGTTATTGTTGTTGTTGTTCTTGTTGTCATGATTAGTATTGTTATTGTTGTCGATGTTATTATTATTATTATTATTATTATTATTATTATTATTATTATTATTATTATTATTATTATTATTACCTTTCTGACAATGGCCATCACAATAACAACAAGACTGGGGCCTTCAGATTCCAACCAATGATTAAAGTGCGTTAGTAATCTACTCAGACTAACTAGAGAGCTTCAGCATCATCATCCAGTCAGCCAAACATGGTAAAAGGAAAAGAGAGGAAGGGAGGAAGGGAGGGAGAGGAGGGAAAGGGAGGAGGAAGGGAGGGAGGAAAGGGAGGGAGGGAAGGAGGGAGGGCACTTAGCTATGATACATTACCTGTCTGCCCTATTTCTCTCACTCTTTTGATGTTGCAAATTCTCTCTCTCCTCTCTCTCTCTCTCTCTCTCTCTCTCTCTCTCTCTCTCTCTCTCTCTCTCTCTACCGCCATCCAGGTCACTCACACAGTTACCTAGACACATAAATATACTGTATATTTGGCACTGCGGTCACTCAAGAGGTTACACAGACACTCAGAAGCATAATTAGTCATTCAGAAAGATAAATTAACAATCAGAAAGTTAACCAGACACTCAGAACGTTACATAGACACTCAGAAAATTACGTAAACACTCAGAAAGTTTAAATTGGCACTCAGAAAGTTAAGTTTGATACCCCAAGAGCCACTCACACACTCAGCCTCTTACAATATCACGTCTTTCTCTACCCCCCTCCCCCCCGGAAAAAAAAATTAAAATAAAAAATAAATTAAAAATAACAATTGAACATAACTTTCCCTCATAACTCATGGACGTAGCTTGTGATTCTTGCCGCTTGCATTGTAGACAGTAGACCAGTATGATTTAAAGGCACACGGCCAGCGACAGATAACGAGGAAGGAAGGTCGTAAATCCCTTCTCTTAACCCACCATTACGACTCAGGGGAGGAAGGATGGTTGTTCCTACCCATATGTTCGTTACCTATCCTGTCCTATACACCTATTCTCTTTCTACCTCTATGTTAGTTTCCTATCCCCTAGGTACCTATCCTGTTTCTACCTGTTCGTTACCTATCCTGTCCTTTGCACCTATTCTGTTTCTACCCCTATGTTCGTTTCATATCTTGTCCTGTGCCCTATCCTTACCCTATTTTCAATTCACTATCCTTGCATGATATTATTGGTGTCCCTATTCTTAATTCCCATCCTTTCCCCATCACTGCTAATTTGGGTATGTCTCCCTTTCTCCCTTCCCTACCCCATCCATCACCACAACCCAGCCACTCCTCTCACCTGCCTGCCCCCCACACACACACCTCCCCGCTCCTCATTAGAGCCAACTCCTCGTGCACATGTATTAAGAAATTAATTCGGCTCATTTTTTCCCTCACGGCATTGGATGTAACCCGAAGGAGAGGGAAGGGACGACCCAACCATTGTCAGGTGAGCCAAGGACGTGCAGAGTCACAAGCACCACTGAATCAACGACAAGACGCATCATGGCTTAAGGGAGTGTGGATAAGCGTTAATTTCCTACTCGACTATGTAACAGATGGTTCCTGAGTGACTATCATTGCATGATCATAGGCCATAAATGATTAGACACACCGTAATTACAGAGTTGACGCAAGACAGCGTTAATCACCAGGAGGGAAGGTTGTGGCAGGCGGTTTTGGTCTCTGAGTTAAGGTTTAAGTAGGTAGTGTTTCCTCTGTTCAGGTGAGCGCGTCTGTTTTCAGCTAATCACTTTTCGAAGATTTAATCACATCTGGCATTAGTCCCTTTCCCGCCTGGCCAGAGGACATGCATTAGTCCTGAGCTGCAATGACGACGACCTGTATTTAAAACATAGTGTAGTGCAGATCTTTATATTTTTTACCTTAATCCATGATCTACAATGACTGGTAGATGATCAATCTTTCAGATTCTTTTTTACCAGCAAGACATTACGCCCCAGTGAGAAGTATTCGATACCAAGTGATGTGAGCGAGTGTTTGGATTTGAGACTATCCTTGTAGTGTGTGGTGTGAGGTGAGGATACGAGCAGGTGTGTGTGTGGGGGGGGGGGGGGGGTGTATACTTTAATTTCTTAACACCTTTTTTATATTGACTTTTTTACAACTCTTGCAATATCCTCTCAGTTCTCTGATGTGTCTTTACACTTTGATCTATCCCACACACTATTCTACCTATTATTTCCCCCGTAGAGGTAGATGCCCCTCCATAGTACAGGCAGATGGCCCTGACCTCCCTAGTACAGGTAGATGGCCCTCCCACTAAGGCAGATGGCCCTGACCTCCTTAGTATAGGTAGATGCCCCTCCATAGTACAGGCAGATGGCCCTGACCTCCCTAGTACAGGTAGATGGCCCTCCCACTAAGGCAGATGGCCCTGACCTCCTTAGTATAGGTAGAAGGCCCTCCCTAGTACAGATAGATGGACCTAACCTCCCTAGTACAGGCAGACAGACCCTCGCTGTAGAGGCAGATGCACCCCCTCCCTCCCTCATAGACAGGTGTAGCTTCCCGTCCCAGCAACAAGACTCCCGTACTCACACAAGCTGACGTTCTTGGCGAGAGGCAAACCATCTGTGGGAGGATCAACGTATTAAAGACCTGCACTCATCTTTTTTTTTAAACTTATTTTTTATTTTGTTTTATTTTGCTTTACCAGTAGTGCAGATAATGTTATACTGTTAAGTCATTATATATCACCTTACAACGCATGAGAAACTAAAAAATTTTTGGGGGGTGTTATATTCATTTTTTTATATAAGTTAGTTATATTATAGGTACAGGTGTGTTGAAGTATAGTATATAATTAAGGCCAGGTAACGTTAATAACCTCTCTCGATATAATTACCGTGTGGAAAGTGAGAAAACAAACAGACAAACACCAATTATGTTTGTTACTCCGTTGCCCATATGTTTTAATTCATAGTTTAATATACATAGAGGTTTTAAATACATCCCTTTAGTACCCATAGTAGTGAAGATCTTGGTCTATATATCACCTGAAAATATAATTAAAGTATTGTCTAAGTATTCAATCACCTGAGATAGCAATGACCTCCAATAGGGTAGAAAAAACCTAACCTAACCTAACCAAACGATAATTCACCATACCACCGACGACGATACATCAACAAAACACATGAATGGTCGCTAAACACCCATTAAACACACATGATAAACGACCTAACGCACACACACACAGGTGAAAGTTTGTAGCGGTAGGTGTGGTATTCTCTTGTTCCATACCATCTTGTAGGAACATCACTCACGCATATTATCTATCTATCTATCTATCTATCTATCTATCTATCTATCTATCTATCTTTGTTTACGTTTTTGGGTGTCTAAGTGAAGGGAACTAACCATTAAAACATTAGGTAGTGTATTCCTTAAGGTGTCTTCTTCTCTAACCCAACCTCAACTAACTTGGGGTAAAGACAGTGTTATGCCTCATGACCCTTTCGGTAGGGGGATTTAAGGACTAATAACGTGGATCCATATGGGTCGTTGCTGATGATGACTCGATATTGTGTGTGTGTGTGTGTGTGTGTGTGTGTGTGTGTGTGTCAAGATGAAGAATATAAACAAACAGAAATAACACCAAACTAAACACTGTGTCGAGACGAAAACACATCTAAGAGAGAGAGAGAGAGAGAGAGAGAGAGATGAAACAGAGAGTAAAGCGTGGGAGGGAAGGAATGTGGGAGCAAGGGAAGGGAAGGAAGGGAGGAGGTGGTGTTGGAGAAAGGGAGGAGGGAGTGTGGGAGAGGAGGGAGGAGGGAGTGTGGGGAGGGAGGGAGGGAGTGTGGGAGGGAAGGGAGGGTGTGGGAGGGAGGAGGGAGGGAATGTGTGGGAGGGGGAGGAGGGGTGTGGGAGGGAGGAGGGAGGGAATGTGGGAGGGAGGGAGGGGGAATGTGGGAGGAGTGAGGGAGGGAGGGGAGGACTGTCAGACCATCAGCAGTGTCAGGACTGTCCAGGCACGATAAATGTTGGAGCTTTTATGAGGCCTGTGTTGGAAGCACTAGCCTAAAGGTGTGTGGAAGGAGGAGGGAGGAGAGTGGGAGGGAGGTGGGAAAGAGGAGGAAGGGATGGAGGGAGGGAGGACGGAGGGAGAGGGTGGAGATGGAGGGAGAGGGAGGAGTGGGAGGAGGGAGGAAGAAAAAGGAAAATGAAAACGTTTGAAGGAAGGAAGAAAATGGAGAGAGAAATAGAGAGAGGGAGGCAAAGTAGGGAGGCAGGGAGGGAGGAAGATCAGGAAGGAATAAAGTAAATATTTCCATAAATCTTTTCTTTTTTTTTCTCTTGGTGTGACATAGTGGATGTTAAGACCTGTGTCGAGTTGAAGTATATGTTGATGTTTACCGTCGTCCAGTCCAGGTGTTTATCTCTCTCTCTCTCTCTCTCCTTCCTGTTATCATCTGTTATCAAGGTGGAGTCGTTGCTCTCCTCTCTCCCCCACTTCCCTTCCTCATATATTCTCTCTCTCTCTCTCTCTCTCTCTCTCTCTCTCTCTCTCTCTCTCTCACAGGGTAATTAATCTTCACCAGGATAAAGACCTTCATTACTCACAAAGGAACTTGTTACAATTGAATATACACACTATCCCGTCAATTAGCGTAGACTCTCTTTCTTTCTCTACCGTCAATTAGCAAAGCCTCTCTCTCTTTTTCTGTCTCTCTCCTATCAACTGCAATTCTCTCTCTCTCTCTCTCTCTCTCTCTCTCTCTCTCTCTCTCTCTCTCTCTCTGTATGCCAGTCTTTAACTTCATTATCTTCCCTCTCATCGCTTCTAGCTATGTGTCTATCTATATACCCGACCCCCAGAAAAACACAGAGAGAGAGAGAGAGAGAGAGAGAGAGAGAGAGAGAGAGAGAGAATCATACCATACACCAGTACCATATCCTAAACTACCCATGAAAAAACACGTAAAAAAAACACCCATAAAAATATTGTGGCAAAAACTGAAGGTAATAATTCCTGTACGGGTCAGAGGTGGCGTTGAGAATTCTCCCAAAAATTGTCTTACGTTAATTTTTTTATCTTAAGGTAAAATTGTAAAAAATTGGCGTCATATGTGTACTGAGACTGTATCGGTGCCTCAAGAAGTTGCAGACCTGACACACACACATACACCTGGCATCCTGCACTGACTAGGTACACTGTATACCTGCTATCTATCTATCTATCTATCTATCTATCTATCTATCTATCTATCTGTCTGTCTGTCTAACCTACTAGGGCGTGGAAGGACACCTAGGAACGAATCCTTCAAGGTTGAGGCTGAGGTATAAGGATTTATGACAGGGCAGTACCCGGTGCTTCCTCTTCTCACCTCACCTTCCTACCTTGCTCTCCCTACCTCCCACCCCCCCCTCCGTCTCTCAGTTTATTGGGCTCTCCTTATATGCGTACACTCATCGTCATCTCTCTCTCTCTCTTAACACACACACACACACATACCTACCTGCTCGTATCCTTAACTTAAATACAACATTAGATTCAAGTTTAACATCAACAAGACAATAATAATCGACTAAGACCAAAACAAATCAACAAAACTAATAATAAACTTTGTGAGAATAAAAAACAAGAGACTTATATGCATTTAAAATCTTATATTGATTAAAGAACAACTAAACACCTGGACAATTATATTAAAAAACAAAACCTAGATTTAATCCTAGATAAAAGATGTAAGCAGTTATGGATCATGGAAGTTACTATTACAAAACTAAGTCAACCTAAACTAACCTAACCTAACCTAACCTAACCCAACCCAACTTAACCTAACCCAACCTAACCTAACCAAAAGGTAATCCAGAACAGAGAGACTAATATGTTAAAGTCTCTCTAAAGGATCTATGTACTCTAAAGAGGTAAATAAGTAGTACTATAAACAGCTATGTACTCAAGGGAAATAAACAGTCTTAATTTCTGTAGATATTTATGGAGATACGTAGAATAATATAAACGGGACAATACTATAACGTGAGGTAGGATGGAGAAGGGAGATGAGGAGGAAGAATAAGAGGAGGAAGAAGAATAAGAGGAGGAAGAAGAATAAGAGGAGGAAGAAGAATAAGAGGAGGAAGAAGAATAAGAGGAGGAAGATTTGCAGTAGGTTGAGGGAGGAAGAAGAAGAAGAAGAAACAGAAGAAAATATTAACAGGAGAAGACGGAGGAGGAGGAGGAGGAGGAGATTTATGTGAGTTAGGTTAGATATGATGAAGTAGGAGGAAGAGGAAGAGGAGAAAGGAGGAGGAGGAAGAGGAGGAGGAGGGGCAGGCAGGAGGAGACAGGCCATGTCAGACTCCTGAATTAGACGAAGGTTGCGGACTAAAATATACATGAACGCAAACACGGGTAAAAACAACAAGGGCAAGGTGTCATGCTTTATGATCTGGTACCTGGCCGAGATACTGCTGAGGAGGAGGAGGAGCAGCAGGAGGAGGGAGCAGGCAGGAGGAGCAGGAGGAGGAGCAGGAGGAGGAGGAGGAGGAGGAGGTAGAAGAAGAGGAGGTAGGAGGGAGGGAGGAGGAGGAGGAGAAGGAGGAGGAGGGAGGAGGGAGGAGGAGGTGAAGAAAGAGGAGTAGGGAGGGAGAATGTAGGAAAATAAAGGAGAGGAGAAGAAGCAGGAGAGGAGGATGGGACGAACATAGAGATGGATGGAGGAGTAAATGAGGAGGAGAGGGAACACAAAGAAAAAACCAGGAAGAAAGGAAAAGAAATGATGATCACAGACATTGCATGAGTGAAGTGAAAACCAATGAGAGGATTAATCCACAGGGTCTATGCTGAAATATGTTCCATCTACCTATATCCTTTTAACCCATTACTAACTGAGGCGTTCTCTCTCTCCCCCTATGCTGATGACGCAACAGTTGATCAGGTAGATAGGCTCTTAACCACCTACAGGATGCTGCCGTGTGTGTGTAAAATTCCAGACACACACACACACACACACACGGTTGCTAGTCCTATAGGTGACCCTGGAAGGAGCTTTAGCGCTGCTGACTAGAGAGAGAACGTGTGTGTGTGTGTGTGTGTGTGTGTGTGTGTGTGTGTGTGTGTGTGTTACATAACAGTAATTAACTCATTATCACAATATATCATTCAGTGGTCTCATTAGCCTCCACTTAGCCGCGTTACATAAAGTGAGATTTATTATCAGTATCGTTATAAGGTTCATGAATAACCGAGCCTTAAACCTAACCTAACCTAACCTAACCTATCATTAACATACATTTAACCAAACTTAACCTTGGCCCAATATATTCTTAATCTAACTTAATCTACCTGATCTACCCTTAACCTAACCTAATCTGAGTATCCTTAACTTAATCTAATAAAATCTGATGTTTTGGCATTGAAATTCTGGTCTGGTTCTGGGTCCATACTTAGGCTGATTTACAGGAGTATCATGCCTAGCACTGTGGAAGAACTGGGGGAGGGCACAGAAAGAAATGGCACACAGACTGGAAGGAATGGACAGAAAAAGAATGAAAAACAGTGCCGAGGACGGAAGGCGGGGAGATATAAAACCCCGAATCGTCGAACCTTATTAATCACAACA